CCAACCAAAGAAATTTTGTATTTGTATCTCAGTTGAGTTTAAAGATCCATACCAAGATATTATATGAGTTCAATTAGCTGGGCTAGAGGGTATAACTACCAAGACTAGAGGTAATTTATGGATTTAATTACCTGGATCAGAGGTAATTTATGGGTTTAATTGCCTGCATACTGCATACGAGGTGTATGCATAGGTAGCTTACCTATTGTTAAGGTATGAAGTTTTTATGAACTCTTATTACAAATTTTGATGTCAGTATATCTTGGGAAAATTCAGAATTCAATAAATAGATTTGCAATTAAATTCAAATCAAATATGATAATTAATATCCTACAAATCAATAACTTACCAGTTTTAGGAATTCATAATTTACCTTATTTATGTTTTAGGACTGGAACAAAAAATAAAAAATAAATAAAAGTAAATATCAATAAATTGAAAAAGGCATGTAATCTTATGTGGCGTCAAAGGATTTGGATCAACAATAATTTCTGCGTGGATTGCACCCAAAATCTCTCCTCATAATTGGACTTATGCCAAATTTTCTATTTAAACAATCATGCCAGCTTATGCACGCTTTTCAATAACTTCCAATCCCATCAATTTATATAAAGAAACAATATAAATCAAGATGAAAACAATGAAACCAAAGAGGACGTGCTCTCCAAGTTAAAGATGAAAAAGGATATTTTAATTTAAACCAAAAGAAGGTTCAAATAGGAAAATAATCTCAAGAGATAAACTCTAATCCTATTAAAAAGATGACTAATATAAAAGCATTGGAGTGAAAATAACTCCAACTAGGAATCCTATACTGAATGCATGATTATGTCATGATTTACCTGAAAATCAAGTTTCTCACCATATCGATCCAGCCATACTTTGAAAATCCGGAATTGAATGTATTGTGCCAAAACTTCAGTAAAACATATTCACACACTAATTCCCGACTTATGCTAGAGTTTAGGAAATGCCAATACAATTTTCATACTAACATCTTATCCACGTAGCGTCTCTTGATTGCAGACTAAAATATTTGCTCCAACAAATTTTCAAAACAAAAACTCAACACTGAAAACGAAATGGTTACCAAAAGTAGAGGAAGAGATTAAGACATGGGAGTGAAGCAATGAAAGAGAGACGAGGATGGCATCATGCATCTGGAGCTATTAAAATTGGATTAGGACTTCGTTGATATTCGTTTTGCACAAGTCCAGTGTTCAAGTAGAGCCAAAGACATTGACCAAAAAAAAAAAAAAAAGTAGAGCCAAAGAAAGTCGAGCGGGTCCTTTTTTTTTGTCAAGTGGGTCCATTTGGCTGAGATGAATTCCAAGATTTTTATTCGGTTTCTCAAAGATCCATATTGTAAAGAAAATGAGTCGAAATTACTTATTCTTAATACATTATGATATGAAAGGCTTGCAAGAATTAATTTTAAAACGTCCATATCCACATATAATTACTCTTGGAGATATTTTCATTGATACACAAATTATGGAAAAAGAAATTGCTAGGATAGATTTCAAACGTATATATATATATAAAGATAGAAAGCCAGATATCTTAGATACAGTATGGTATGAGTACTAGTACAAAGATAAACCTTAAAATCCTAATTAATTATGATTGAGAGTTTTATTAACAACTCAACCAATACATTACATTAACCTTTATCATTGATAAAACAAACCCTTATTATATTACCGCCTAGTACCTGCAATATCCACTGAAAAAGGGTTATCTATTTAATTCCCAGTTTCAGTCTCAGCAACACCAGATCCTGGTTTTTCATGATGGCCTTGGCCGTGCCTATACTCTCCCGGGTCCGGAGGCTGAGGGGCCATGCCCTGGTACGCATTCAGAATACGGACGACATGCATATAAGAGCCGTCTGAAATAAGAGGGTCTACCAACTGAAATAAGAGTAATCTATATATATAAGAGCCGTCCTTTATATGAAAAGAATTTATATCAGTTGACATGCATAGGGTTATGTGATCAGTTAAAAGATTAGAAACTCACAAGAAAATGGACTAGCAGTTTCCACTAGCTCACGAGCTGAGACCTCAGAGGAGATGAGGATCACAAGAGCAAACATAAAGCCAAGAAGAAGAAAAATCTTGGAGGATGATGCCATGTTTTTCTTAATTAACAACACAATTAAGGTGAAGACAAGATTGTTGAGTGAACTTAATGTGGCTTGGCCTCAACCAATTTATAGACCCTTGAGGATAGAGTGGGGTGGTGGGGGAAGAGATGGAGAGAGAAGAATTTCTGTGGACATCGTTGAACTGAAGACGCCTAAAGGAGAGGAACGCTTTCAAACCAAGTTGATGGCATTTTTTGGACTTAATCTGAAAAAAACACTCCAAAATATACAAATAAATGACCAGTTCAAAATTTCATATTTATTTTGTTTAAAATTAATTGGAAGGGAAGTACTATTCTCTTGGATACTTTTCATACAAAAGCCAAGAGAACTCTGGGGAAGCAACGCGCGGGTTTCTGCTTCTATGTCCATCAATTTCCTTCCAATATGGCTTCAAGTAACGCACAAGGCAAGATATGTGACTCCAAAGACTTTCAAGTCTTCGTATGAAAAGTCATGTTGGACCACACATGTCCGGACGTAGATTTCTTCTTTTTTGCTTTTCCAATTTTTTGGCTCTATAAAAAAGACTTACTTTGAAGTCTTTGCATGCCCATTCATATTTAGCTTATTCGTGGACAAACGTTCTTTTTTTTTTTGGTCCTTCATTTTTTTTTTCCACAAATGTTGATGGTTTATTTGTAAATCGTTTAATGAACAGAGAAGAAAATCAAGTCTACACATATATCTCTTTGTATGCCTTTTGTGTTCCTAAGTTGTACCAGTCGCTTCATTGCGTGTGGTCCTTGGTGTTAGCTTTTCTTGACATGTAAATTTGATTGTAATTTTTTATGCACTCAATCAAGCTCAAGAAGCTAAGACAATATAGTATAGCTGAGATCAACGTCGTGATGGATTCATGCTCTCAGAGCTCATTGAAGGTAATTCATCTTTGATTGCATTGCATGCATTGTAATGTTATCTTTTGCATGACTAGCCATCATTATCTGTCACGTGTTACTGCCACATCATTTATTTTTCACGGGAGCTTGTCTCTGTTGCCAGCTGTAGGTTTTCTGTCTTAACCTTTTTTTTTTCCAATTCTAGCTCTTATCATTAGCTCATAGGTGTCTTTGTTTTGTGATGCCCTAATTTATCAAAAGGGTGGCTAATGGTAGAGAGCATCCAACACTTTCATTTTTGGATTATTGAGAGGCATCTTTTAGCTTTGCCATTTTCTCTGTGAGAGTGTCCATGGGTTTTTAAATGTGGTTTTCAAATAGCTATTGAAATCTTTTTCTATTTTTGAAATCGACTTCACTCATTAAAAAGTTTTTTAGAGAAAAAAAATTTACTTTGCATTTTCTACTTGATGAGACCATGGTTTTTGAATTGAGATTTCCATATTTCTTTTGAAATCTGCTTATGTTCTTCAAAAACTGCATCTAGCATTTCATACACTGCATATGTTTAGATCTAAAGAAGATTCTTGATTGGTTTCTTCAAGAATATGGTTTCTTGAAGAAATTGATCCTTATTAGTTTTTGAATCTATATTCCATCGTTCTTGTTCGAATAGGAGCTGAGCTACCGGTGCCATGGAGTGAAGGAGCTGAGGAGAAGATACGAATTTCAGACGGCGCCAAACTGCTGATGCTAAAAAATGGACGGCCAAGATTGAGCCCAACTTAGAGATGAGGTATGATAGATGATTGATGAAGGTGAGGACTTTCGGTAGGTATGTGAAGGCTTGGGCCTTCAGCAAGAGGAATGGACGGCCAAGATTGAGCCCAACTTAGAGATGAGGTATGATGGATGATTGATGAAGGTGAGGACCTTCAGTAGTGTTTGTACCAAAATTTTCACTTTTTGGCCAAACTCTCCATTCTAGCCAAAATACATTTGGACTTATTTTTTACTCATCAGCCCAACTGGCTATTCGGGCTCCACTTGCCAAAAATTGGAAAAGAAGCCCATATCATTCCAAGAGATAAAAATAAGCCAAAATAGCTTTCCCAAGTTCCCAAATTACATATTTTGAAACTTGAGGTCTGACCTTCATTAACTCAAGACCATATCAATAGAGAGGTAAAAGCAAAAGTTATCTCCTATAGTCATTTAAGTCTCAGGAACTACAGACCCGTGTGGTCTCATCAGTTGAGATATTTTGAGGCACAAGTGACAAGAATGGCCAGAAGGTATTCAAAAGGAATTCTTAGAGAAAGCATGCTGAGTATCTCTGCAAAACATCCATGTGCCTTCAAAAGAGGGATATTTTCTTCACAAGTTACAAGGAAAAGATATTCATCACAACTAATATTTTCCAGGAGAGATTTTCCAGATATTTTTAGGAACCAAAATTCCTATAAATACAAGGGATGAGAGCTGAAAAAAGGACACCCAACAATCAACAAAAGAAATACAAAAGAAACAATCAGTTCACTGATCATTCTAGCCTTCAATAGAAGCAAAGCCAACAAAGGTACCAAGGACCTTCAAAGCTATCCTTGAGATTCTGCTCAGAATTCCCAGCCACTCACAACTCAACTTGATTATAGCTCTGCCAATTTCAACATTGGTATCGATTTCCAGCTAATATTTATTAGTTGAAGGTGCAGCCAGTCCAGTCCAGCTTGACAGTCCAATCCAGTCCAGTCCAGCTTGACAGTCCAGTCCAGTCCAATCCAGCCACACAATCCAGTGCAGTCCAGCTTGACTAAAATAGTCTCAGAAATGGCATTCCAGGCAGAATTCGAAGTTCAATATTTTGATGTATTTCCGGACTTAGCAGTTCCTTTCATTTACTGTATTTCAAACAGTTCTCCTTGAACTTGTTTTTATTTTCAAACACTTGTATTTTTGCTTTACTTCCCAATTTTATTTAGATAAATTATGAAGTCCTTACCAGTCTAAGGCATAGAAAAGAACTTACTTGGGAGATATTCCTCACCCAAATTCACAATCGTTTGTTCAAAGTCAATAGCTTGGGGCGCAAATTATTCTTACTCTCAAAATCTGTTAGAATTGAAAAATTGCTAACGGTGGCACGCTCGACACACAAAGAAAGTTAATTTATTGACCAACCATGGTCTTTGGATTAATGGGGAACTTTACCCTACCATCACAGGTACTAAACACAAAAAGGGGTGAACAAGTAGGTATGTGAAGGCTTGGGCCTTCAGCAAGAGGCAAGCGATTGTCTTAGGTAGGTGTGTGAAGGCTTGGGCCTTCAGCAGTTGTGTGCCTTTGAGATGCATTTGCCTTAGGCCGGTGATGACAGGGAAAGTAAGTAAATATATAGAAGACAAATATATGTGGTTCACCCTTAATGAATGAGCTACATCCACAGAGAAGTATATTCTCATTATAATAATGTGTATTTACATTTGTACAAGGGATAGGGCCCAAAGATAAAGGAAAGAAGGGAGATCTGACCATTTTCTAAGTGGAGTATATCCTCACTTCTTGTAATATTCCAATGTGAGACTCTTTACCCTGCTTAAAGTTGCTTGGTCATATATGGTATAAACACATTGTATTATATACTTTTCTTTAGTATCAAATTTTATCTTCAGGAAACTATGTATGAAAAGAAATTAGATGAGTTTTATAATGTTGCTTTAAAACAAATAAAATGAACCTAATTAGTTACCAATTGGTCCTCGTACATTTACCAATCGTTCCTCTTTGGGCATGTATGTTTGTTGCATGAAAATTTAGTCATACAAATATCTTTTGAGATTATATTCTGCTATTGGGAATGAGTGTTAGAATTCATACAGAAAGTATAGAAAAAAAAAAATTGAGAATGTGATAAAATTATGGATTTCTTCAAAATTAGGTTCGTTTGTCACACAAAAAAAAAAAGTTTGATTTTTCACATGTGCCCCCTCTTAGTGATCGAATTATAAGCCTTTTAGTGATTAAAATAGGGGTCGCTAATAGGCATTTCATTGAGAGGAAGTCACTCATTGTTTACCTTTTTAGTGACCAATGAATATTTAGGGATGGCAACTGAATAAATTTGTGAACCTTGTAGTGACCATCTAGTGACCATAATTGTTTATCGCTAATAGCTGTTTTTCTTGTAGTGTGGGTGCATTAGTTCTATTTGGTCCCTCTCATACAGTTTATTTATTTATTCATGACACAAATCAAAAAAGAAAATTGTGAGATTTCAAATGGAACTCAGTAAGCAAGCAAAGGTAAACTTGAAGTTCTAGAAAATTAAAACACATGCATTAAGTACATATAACAAGCAGGATCCAAGACTACATTACGTAACAGTTCAGAGATAAACCTTATATAGTAGGTCTGATTTTGCTTGGGTGTTCACAACTACTCAACCAATATATATAATAGACCTTTTTATTGACAAACAAACTTTCCACACACGTACACAGGCCAAGGTTTTATCTAATTCTTTGTTTCGGTCTCAGCGGTGCCTGGTCGTCCGGTCGTCCTGGTTGTCCTGGTCTGTTTTTGCTGCCATGGTTGAAGGGGTCTCCCTCTCCTCCACGTTCATGACCTCCATGCCCGTAGCACGCTTTATTGGTTGGTTCACAATGCGCTCCATGGTTAGGGTCTCCCTCTCCTCCGCGTTCGTGACCGTGGCCTTTCCCTCCATGGATGGGTTTAACCACTACTCCTCCATTCCTGTGGCACTGTCTGCTAGTTGGATTATGTTTACAATGCTCTCGTTCAGGGTTGCCGTTTTGTCCACGGCCATGATGTTCATGACCATGAATTTTATGGATAGGGTCTTTTTCTCCTCCACGTCCACGACCTCCATAGTTGTGGCACGCTCTATTGGTTTCTCCAGGTTTACAATGTGCTGGATGGTTGCCTTTTCCTTGAGGTTGGCACTGATGATTTCCTAGACGGTTACATGACACTGCTTTTGCCGGGACGGCACTGATCATTAGCGTTAAATTGGAAACCAATATTAGTAATTATTTGTGAATAAAATAGGGGCTTAAAACAGAAATATTTCTTAATTGAGACATTCTCTTTAATTATAAGAACTTATCTTATATATTAGAATAATACCTTCGCAAGAAGATTGTTCCAAGATTGTATAGAACAATCTTAATATATCTTATAGGTTCTAGGTTTCAAGCAGCACTACTACAAAAAACACTTTGCGCGACGAAAT